TATTCCTGCTTAGAACTGGAACCAGACAAGGTTGCCCACTGTCACCACTTCTGTTCAACATAGTGCTGAAAGTCCTAGCCTGGGTAATCAGGCAAGAAAAGGATATCAAGGGTATCCAAATGGGGAAAGAAGAAGTCAAACTATGGCTGTCTGCTGACGACATGATCTTACGTGTAAAACTACAAAGATTCTGCCAAGAAACTCCTGTAATTGATAAATAAATTCAGCAAAGTTTCAGGTTACAAAATGTACACAAATCAATGGCATTCCTATACACCAACAATTGTCAAGCTGAGAATCAAATCAAAGACTCAATACCTTTCAAAATAGCAACAAGGAAAATAAAATTCCTAGGAATATATTTAACCAAAGAAGGGGAAGACCTCTACAGGGATAACTATGAAACACTGAGGACAGAAATGAAGAGGTTGTAAACAAATGGAAAAGCATATCATGCTCATGGATCGACAGAATCAACATTGTTAAACTGTCTATACTACCCAAAGTGATCTACAGATTCAATGCAACCCCCATTAAAATACCAATGTCATTTTTTGCAGATCTAGAAAAAATAATTCTACACTTCGTTTGGAAACAGAAAAGATCTCAAATAGCCAAAGCAACCTTAAGCAAAAAAAACCAAAAAACAAAAAACGAATCTGGAGACATCTTCTTACCAGACTTCAGGCTATACTACAAGGCTACAGTAACCAAAACAGCATGACACTGGCACAAGAACCCAGGTATAAAACCGTCCTCATATTGCCATCTGATCTTTGACAAAGTAGACAAAAACATATAATGGAGAAAAGAATCCCTATTCAATAAATGGTGCTGGAAAAACTGGATACTCACATGTAGAAGACTGAAACAGGATCTGCACCTCTCATCACTCACAAAAATTAATTCGCAATGGATAAGAGACTTAAACCTAAGGCATGAAACTATAAGAATTCCAGAATAAGATGTTGGAAAAACTCTTATAAATATCAGTCTAGGCAAAAAATTTATGAAGAAGATCCCCAAAACAAGCACAGCAACAAAAAAAGATAAATAAAATGGGAACTAATTAAATTTAAAAGTTTCCACACAGCCAAGGAAACAATTAATAGAGTGAATAGACAACCTACAGAATGGGAGAAAATATTTACATGCTATACATCCAATAAAGGGCTAATATCCAGAATCTACAAAGAACTCAAGCAAATCAGTAAGAAAACATCAAACAACCCCATTAAAAGTGGGCAAAAGACACAAACAGAAGCTTGAACATTTACTATATAGTTAAAATATATAAATCTAATTACATAGTGATAATATATAGTTATACAAAATATTTGCACATTTAATTATATCATAAATAAAAAATATGTATTATATAGGATGAAATACTAGGGGTGTGTTTGTCCGTGTGTATGAAAGCAGCTACATATTTTCCAGAAATATAATTTAAATGCTTTCCCAAATTGCTTCACACTGGTATGCTGGATAACTAATTTACCCTAGTGCTCCAGAAGCATGAATATGTTTCATAAAATTCTTCAAATATAATTTCTCAATATCCTTAAATATAACATGAAATTTACTCAATATAGGGATGCTAATGCATTAAATTTTAATATTTTTGAGCTACATAGAGTATAGTATCTTCTACCACAACTCATCTGTGTCTGTTTCACCTCTAAATTACTGTTTCCAACTTTGTAATATACAGTGTCCTATACTATAAATTCTATAATTATATGTAAATCTGACATTGTATGACAAAAAAATGAATGCCATGCATTATAGAGAAATCCCTCCATTTACTTTATAACAGTTTAATAGTTTTATTTATTATTATTTTTGATTTTCAAATAGTTTAAGCAGAAAACCAAGAGCATTGAATTGGAAATATAATTTTATTTGTTTAAATTACAAAGGATTACATTCCACAGAGGAAAGAACGTCAAGTCACGTGGACTTCTGTAAGGTTTGTATCTCTGACAATTAATTACTATTACTAGTTGTGTCATTTTGGCCAAATAACTTTTCTTTGCCTCTTTTTTCTCATTTGCAAAATGGGAAGGGATATAGGTAGGTGAAATTCAATAATATACAGCAAATGATGGTAAGTAGGAAGCAATTGGTAAACATTAGCATTTTTAGCTAGCATTACTCTTTTCCAGTGTGCTTACATCTTTTTAATCATCACAATTTCTTATATGTGATTTTTTTCCTATATTGGTAAAAGTTTTGATAAAGACAAGAGGAGGAAAAATAGATGTTCATTAAGCTATAGTTTCTCTGAAAATTATTATTTTATTTTTTGGTACAAGTTTATAAATTTGAGTAGTACTAGTGGTTTATAAAAATGATAAAATACAATGAACATGCAAATTATGCTAGGTAGACAAAAACGTATTAGAAGAACAAGGCAGCGTTTGCTTTTCTCCTCTCTTATTTGTGCCCTATGAAGTAAAAGGTGTAACAAAGTAACTTTTTGTCCCTAAAAAGAATTATTTTATTCAATTTTTATATCCTACCCAAATTATTTAATTCACATTAAATTAAATAACCAAACATTTAATTTACATTTGGGAAATAGAAGCAGAAAATGCCGTTATAATTAAAAAACACAAATTAGGCAACTCTGTATTCTTAGTATATTAGTAGATGTTTTTCATTGCAAACTTCAACTATTGGTCCTTATCTTTAAAAGCATAAAAGCTCAAAGTAATACTGTTGATAACAAATATTTTAACAACTTAGAAACAACTGAAAAAATAAGGAACTAATACCAATGAAATAAAGTTATTTGAAGTACACACCAGGGGGATTAGACATTATTTACTCTGAGAACTGTGATTGTATTACCTGCAGAATTGGGTGGGTGGGTATGATTGTATGCTTTGTATACCAGCAGGGTTCAAAAGTTCACCAATCTCTTTTTGCCCGGGTTATATCTGCCTGTCTGGGTCTTCCTCCAATCTCCCTCTCCCAACCCTGCATGTGTGTGTGCACCACCCCTCCCCTACCCCTTGTAGTTTCATTGTAACTCTTTCTTTTCTTATCTCTCCAGATCTGCACTTGAATCTTAACTCTGGCACATAGATTAGCTGTGATCCTTAGTCCAGTTATCTAAACTCCCTGAACCTCAGTTACCTTGGGTTCATGTATTCATTATAATAGTAACTAACTCATACAATTATTTTTGTCAATGATTTGATCGATAAGTAGGTAAAATATTTAAACTAATTTTATGATGGTTACATCTTTGCTCTATAATACTTTTATTAATCCAATGAACCTGTATCTTCTTATAGATGAAATTCCCCAAATGTGAGACTTCCAAAATAAGTATTTTATGAATACATAGTATAAAATGGCTCCACCAATGTAAAACAGTGCTTTGAAAGACAACTTTGAAGCCAGTGAAGATTTCATTAGAGGCAACTTCTTTGGGAAACTATATGGTTTGTAGAGGTGACATCAATTTTCTTTCTATTCTCAGAAATTTGACAACATGAATTAAATATCTTATTTTCTTCCTATTTTTCAGAACTTTCTTAGCTCATCTATGTTTTCTTTGTTCTGTTATTTCACTAGACAACAAAGCCCCTTGTGCCTGAAAATCCTTTCCCTTTGGATCTGCTAAATCAAGGCCTTCTGATAGTAAGCTCTTAAGGCCTGTTTCTCTGAAGTTTGCAATATGCACTAGATAGAATATCAATACAACAACAATAGGCACCCAAGATGTAGATTGATAAATAATAGATGGACAGACAAAGAGATGGTAAAAACCATTGACTCTTTCCTTCCAAAGTTGAAAAGGAGAGAAAAATGAGCAGGAAAGATGAATGGAGAATGGAACCAAAATTAGTCAAACCGTTAACTCTTGAGCCTTTTCCTATCATTAATGCATATATCATAAATAATCACCAAGAAATATTTGTATTATGTATTAGTAGAATAAATATATTAAATAAGGCAAACCTAATTTAATGGATTATGTTTCAACTACTAAACATAAATAATAGAAATTTACAAAAAAAACCCCTTAATTTAGATGTCAGTATTTACCACTTGTAAAGACTAAATGCCTCCAGATAAAATAGTTAATATTTATATGATGTTTTCATGTCCTAGGTAAACACTTTACATAGGTTCACTTACTTAATTCATACCAAAAACCTCTCTGTGGAAGATACTATTGTTACTGAGGTACCTATCTAATAGGCTAAATAACTTGTCTGAGTTACTCAGTTTAGAAGAAGAAGATTCTAGATATGGACACAGATCATTTTATGCCTCCAGAACCAGTTCTCTACACTCTTATGGCAAAAGACCATACCAGCAAGCAAAGCTGGCTTGAAAAGCAAGACATGCTTTACACAATGACAAAATAACTTCTGATTTGAATGGCATTGTTTCATGTTAGAACATGATTAGCCAAATATAATTTTCTATTAAATTCTTCCTGACTCAAATATTTTTTTCCCATGTCCAGGAGAGGTTTTAAGGCAAGTTGTTTCTTTGCTGGCATTGAGCCCATTTAAGTCATCTGTTAATAGATATTTCATCAGAACATTTTATCTCATGTATGCCTAGTAACATTTTTTTTCATTTCTGGAAAAGAAGGCAAAGTTTTAAAAATATTTGGGTAAGAAATACTTTTTAAAAGTTTCCCTTAATACAACTGTATTTTCCTATTCACATGAGAAGTGACTTTTTTTCTTCACAAGTAGCTAATTGGGGCAAAATTAAGTAATGTTTTTATTCTACCTAAAGAAGCTACTTAGCAAGTCTTCGTTTTTTTGTTTTTGTTTTTTTTTCACATGATCCCTTTTATTTAGAAGCCCTGTATCTCTGTTTTGATCAAAAGTCACATAGCCTTAAATCACCTTATTAAAAAAAAAAAATTCTACCTAAAATATAGTTGTATTTTTTAAATAACAAATAAACATATTGCCAGCTTGGAGAGACCTGGGGGACCCAACGTTGTCTACCAACTTGTATTATCATTTTTCTACAAATGCTGCTGCTGCCATTGGAGTCCTTATGCTTCCTCTTGCTGAAGCCATCAGTTCTTCAATCTCGGCATTTAATTTATGTATTACCCATTCCATTGCTTCTCGGCCTTTATTAGCATTTGAAGATATGGTACTTGCCATCAGTCCTTCAAGGTAACTGCTAAGGCTGACTCCTTTCTCAGTGATAATGGCTTCTTGAGTCATAATAGTTTTTTCTGGGTCCTGAGGATGTGGGTTGTATAAGAGTCTCTCATCTACTGAAACCATATTTGTAAATGAAATAATAGTAGATTTAAGTTCCATTGTTTTCTCTACAGGATCAACTACAGAATGTTCTTGTACATATGTTTTGGTTCTTGCTGCACCAATAAGAGACTTCACAATGGAAGGCAGTCCCCACTCTGTGCTGAGAAGTCTATGGCTGTGCAACTTCCCGGAGGGATCTATATGTCTGTCCAACACATCAATTCCAACCACACTCGGGTTCATAGGGTTTGGGTATTTCTGCATTGCAGCTGTGGTAACAGTCTCCCAAGAGTGGTCAAAGACATGCTCCGAAGTCCAGATCGTCATGGTGCAAGCGGCCTGCGCGATATCCGGGCGGCGCTCGCAAGTCTTCTTTTGATGGAGCACAGTCTCAATCTTTTATCCCCAAAATGCCAGATTGTTTTGCAAACTGTTTTTTTTCGTATATATTATTTTCTTTTCCTATATAGCTAGGAAAAGCCATTATTCACAAATTAAATTAAGAATGGTATTGCATATATGCATACACACATATATTACATAAAAGATTTTAATAATAGCATGTGTAAATTAAGACAAATGTCAATAGATATTAATATACTATTAAAGCTGAGCTGCTCTGAGTTTAAATTTCCAAATTATCCAAACAGAAGGACACTAAGAAACTCAAAATAGTATATACCAAGAAAGAATTTTGGAAATTTATCCTGCAGAGAAAGAAACTTTCATTTATGTAACACATATTCAGAACTTATTGTATTTAAGAACTATTGTATTTAAGAATATTTTAACTAACTTTAAAAATATGATTTGGGAGAAAAAAAGAGGAAAGCTTTACTGCTGTTTTCAAAGTATTCAATTTGTAATCTAACCCCTCTTTCCCTCTCCCCAACACACACACAGACACACAAAGCATATTTTAAAA